ACCAGGTACAGAGATCAATAGGGAGACTATTGTGAGAGTCAGGTGAGAAATGGTGGAGAGAGAGGGAGAGGGAGAGAGAGAGAGAGAGAGAGAGAGAGAGAGAGAGAGAGATGCTTCAGGAGCTAGGGTGATGGCTTGGTGGCTAAAGTGCTTACTGTACAAGTGAGGGGACCCGAGTTTGAATTCTAAGAACCTGTGTAAAAGCTGGGTTTAAGTTGCATGCACCTTAACTCCAATGCTCCTATGGCAAGATGGGTGGCAGAGGCAGGAGAATCCCTAGAGTTCAAGGCCAGCTAGCCTGATAAATGCAACACAGTAGCAAATACCAAGAGACCAGGCCTCAAACAAGGTGGAAGGGGAGGACCTATACCTGAGGTTTTCCACTGACTCCAGAATGCTCCATGGCATTCATGCACCTGCATTCACATACAGGAACCTGTTCCTACACACACACACACACACACACACACACACACACACACACACACACACACACCATTCAGTAGAGAGGGAACATTTGCTGGTGTAAAACATAGGGGACAGTTACTGAATCAATGTCCCTCAGTTAGGGAAGAGGGAATTAGTACACAGAGGAAGGACTTAATCTTGGCTAAGAGCTGAGAGCCTTTGTCAAGGGGCAGGAAGCAGAGATGAGTGGGCACAGACTGACGCAGATTGGGTAGGGAGAGTGTGCAGACCAATGCAGGTGGGTACAGTGTCCAGGAGGGGGTGCCATCAGTTTTTCAGCTTGCTTTGTTTCACTCATGAAAGGAGGGAGGCCACCGTGAGGAACACATAGAGGTTTGATGAAGGACAAGGTGTGCATAGTGAGAGACTGGAGATAGAACTGTAGTTCCTTTGCAACTGCTCAGCTAATCAATTATAAAGCAATGGGTATTTCAGACTTATAATAAGCACTATTCTACAGGAGGGAGAATAAGGAATCCTTTCTTTAAAAAATTTTTTTAAGGGGATGGAGAGATGGTTCAGTGGTTAAGAGCACTGACTGCTTTTGCAGAGGAGCTGGGTTCAATTCCCAGCACCCACAAGAGGACCTGGGTTTAATTCCCAGCACCCACAAGAGGACCTGGGTTTGACTCCCTGCACCCACATGGCAGTTGACAACTCTCCAAAACTCCAGTTCCAGGGGATCTAACGCCCTCTTCTGACCTCTATGAGCACTGCATGACAGGGGTACACTTACATACATGCAGGTAATACACTCATACACATAAAATAAAAATAATAAAAGATAAAATAGGATACAATTTTTTAAAAGTTATTTGCTTTTATTTATGTGTGTGTTTTGCCTTCATGTATGTAAGTGCACTTATGTATGCAATGCCCATGGAGGCCAGAAAAAGGGGTAAGATCCCCTGGAACTAGAGTGAAAGATAGTTGTTACCTGCCATGTGGGTGGTGGGATGGAGTCTGGGTTCTCTGCAAGATCAACTAGAGCTTTTAACTATTGAGCCATCTCTCAAGCCCTGGGAATCTCTTCTTAAGGCAAAGTTAAACCATGTGGGGCTAAAGAGATAAACTTATAAAATTCAGCCATCCAATCGACATTGGATGTCATTTACTCTTGGATGATTTGTAGAGCATTTAAGACTTTAATGGTTCAAAGTCATGTTTCAGAATATGTTAAGAGTGCCCTGAAGATAGAGTAACAGCAAGCTTTGAGTAGAATGGTACCAGGTTGGAGAAAACTGATTTTAACAGCAAAGCAGTTACAGCATAAAAATAAACACATGTAATAAAAATCTTAAAATTTCTTTGCTCTTTCCTGTCAGACTTCACTGTATAGTCTGTGCTTTAGGGTGCTTTGTGGAGCAGAAGTGGATAGCAAAGGGGAATGAATTGGTTCTAACAAACACAGAAGCAAAACAAGAAAGAAGTACGGCAGCAAATGAGATGCTCTCTTTGTTAGTAATGTTACAGATCTTTGTGTGGGGGATGGAAGGGCTTGAACAGAGGAGCCAAGAGAAGGAGGTAGGTAGTGGGCTGAGATTTCATCTGTGCTTGGTGAACTCTGTACCCCAGCTCCCTCTTCTGCCGCTGCCCTGTCTGCAACTTGAAACCCTAGGAAGACTGGAGAGGATATAGTAGGAACAAGTGAGCCAGAGAATGAGCAGTTGTAAACTCAGCTTCTTTGGATTTCATTATTTAAATTTCCTTCAGTAATGAGGTTCTGCCATAAATCAAGATAGATGAGTAGCTAAAGGCTTGGGAACAGTAGTTTTACATCCCTGGGACAATTTCTGCTACTCTACTATGCCTGAAGATTAGAGAAATTATTGTTGCAGTTTGATGTTGGAATCCAACACCCTTCTCTTGGGCCTCATAAGAACAGTGAAGAAAGTTAACAGATCTGGCTAGTACTTGGGTCATTTGTTTCAAATGGCTATTTGGGAGTCATAAAACAGGTGGCTTTGAAAATAGTACTTTGAGCCAGGCGTGGTGGTGCACACCTTTAATCCCAGCAGAGGCAGAGGCAGGTGGCTCTCTGTGAGTTCAAGGCCAGCCTGGTCTACATAGTGAGTTCCAGGACAGCTGGAGCTACAAGGAGACCTGTCTCAAAAAGACCCAAACAAACAAACAGACAGCAGTGTTTACTATTCCCTTCCATCTGTTGTATACGGACACATGGGGGGGCACACTCTTAACCCCAGAAGAGGCAAAGGGAGGGGGCTCTCTGTGAGTTCAAGGCCAGCCTGGTCTACATAGGGAGTTCCAGGACAGCTGGAGCTACAAGGAGACCTGTCTCAAAAAGACCAAAAAAAAAAAAAAGTACTTTGTTGGTACATAGAGTCTGACAGAAATCCTTTGAAGGCAAAACTTTGTTAAGTAAATTAAGCAATCATTGATTCATAATATTCAGTAATATTATGAAAGACTGACCTTTAAAACAGATCCACCGGACTGATAAAAAAAAGTTCCACTGTTTCTTTGTAAACATGTAATAGTAAACTGTGTGAGGTGCTAGTGAGTAGGCTCATGGGGCAACCATGAGAATTTGAGTTTGATTCCCAGAATGGTTGAAGGAGAGAACTGACTCCCACAAATTGTCCTCTGAGCTCCATGTATGTACTATGGTTGCACGCACGCACACGCGCGCACACACACACACACACAAAGAATGAAAATGTTAAAAAATGATAAACTGAATCTAATGCCTTTCCTGTCTTCCTTACCTCCTTCCTTCCTTCTTATAGATTTTATTGGTGGCAGTGCGGATCTATTTAGTTTGGGTCTTTCACTTGAATTAATGTATTTATTAAACAACAAAGAATCTGTTTTGAGTTAGTGTTAAAACAAACTACCAACAATGGATTCCATCTGAACTTACTATATTTTTATTGTCTTTGTTGCTGAAACAAGAGAAACTTTAAAATAATCAACATGTTGACAAATGCAATGAAAATGACCTACCACAAAAGGAAACATTCATTTGCTTTTTTATTGTTCGATAAAAAAAGTATCTGTCATTTTTGGGAAACTTTTATAGGTCTGAGTGCTACAGAATTTAAGAGTTCTAATAACCTAACATGTGGGCTACCCCTTAATTTTACAGATGAAGCGTCAGAGACAGTAAATGACTTCTCAGGGAGTCTCAATTACTAGTGGCACAGAACTCAAGCCCAGCCTTCCTGACTGTGCCACTTTAAATTTCTAATATAAAAAATTCCAGGACCGGTGAGGTGGCTCAGCAGGTTAAAGGCACTTGCTGCACAAGCCTGGCCACCTGAGTTTGGTCCCCAGAAGCCATATAAAGGTGCTTTGAAGGGGAGAACTGATTCCAGGAGAGTGCCCTCTGATCTCCTGCTCTCTCTCTCATTAAAAAAATCTTTTATTGCCATATGATTTAGGCTGGAGAGTAACCTAAGAGTCTTAACTGCCTAGTCTTCATATGGTCAAATTCATTTTTTAGGCTTCCAGGTCTACAGACTGAGTCAATAGCACTTCATATTGATGTTCAGGGATGGATCCCCTTTTTAAAATTGAGTGAAGTCACACACCATGGAATCTATATTTACTCCTCCACTTTGAGATCGAAAGTCTAATTTCTAGTAACAGCAGCCATTTTATTTAGGCAGTACATATACAATAATCACCACAGAAGTTTCTCCAACTGAAAGAAATAGGATGAGAAGATTTCATCTTTAAACTCAACAGCATTTTGGAATTAGGTGTAAAGGCGTTTGAGGATGGATGGACGACTTTTGTTTTAAAGTTTCGTTTCTCCCTGCCCTCCTCCATAATGAAGAGGTGTTTTATGAGGCAAAGATAAAGGAGGGAGGGATTATAACCACCAAACAAGGCATGATTCGAGCAGAAATGAGAGAAGTTAACAGTAAAAAAAAAAATTTGACTCTGATGCAGAAACTTACATATCACGTCCAAGCACTCTTCAGGACAAGGAAAGGCAAAGAACTGACGGCACAGAAAGACCGTTGGATTAAAAAAATGACTCGAGATATCCACTACTCACAAAGCCTGCGAAGGCGTTGAGACTACAGGATGAGCCAGATCCTCAAGGACCTGGTCGGGGCGTTGGGGCAGCAGGGAGGGAGGCATGGCGTGGGGACTGGAGATGAGATTAAACAGAAAGGCTGATAAACTGAATACATGGTGCACATACGGAAGTAGAGAGATGCGGTCAGCCTCTTTAGCCAAACGCGTCCAAATCCAGGATGCTGGTCTCCAGAAGCTCTCTCCAAGGGGCTTGACGATCCTCCTTCCACCTCCAACCTTCCCTTGGCCGTGGGACAGCGGAGGAGACAGGTGCAAACTGCACCCACCTGTTGCAGCCCTAGCCCAGGGCTTGGAGACAGGAATCCAGGGCTTTGCTATTGTCATGGCAACTAAGAGTTCTGCGGTCCCCCACCCCCAGCCTCAGACTCCTTCCACTTCCCCTGCCAGCCGGGGGCAGAGCAACTCTCTAATCTCGCGAGACTTGTCTCAGCGCCGAGCCGAGCCGCGGTGATCTCACCCGAGACTTGGCCGGGAGGGAGGGAGGAGAGGAGGGATGGGGCGGAGAGAAGGGCCAGAGCTGCGCCGCCACCGCCGGCAACTTTGTGAACGAGTTCAGTGCGCGCGTGAGCGAGTGAGCGGAAAGTCAGTGCGGCGCCAAGTCCCCGGGTGGAAGGTCCCCAGGGAGGCCCGGGGTTGGGCCCGGGAGGCCGCCCCTCAGCCCGTGCACCGCCGCCCGCCCCGGGGCTCCCTTCCCGCGTCGTCCCCGCAGCTCCGGGGCCCGCCAGTTCCCCGTGGGCACTTACCTGTCCCCTCCCCCGCGGCCACACACCTCTGGCCCCTGCCCCGGGCTCGGCGCTCTGCAGCCCGGACGCCCCCTCGGCAGCGCGCGGTCGGCGGGCGGGATCGGGGGCGCCGGGGCTCGGGGGCAGTGCGCGCCGCCGGCACAATAGTTGATGCCCGGGGACGGGGCACCCCGGTCCCCCGCTGCTCCCGGAGCGCGGCCCCTTGCGGGCAGCCTGCGGAGCGGGGGGCCCCCCTCGGAGCCGGGCTCGGGAGCGCGGTGATCTCGGCGCCTCGGATCTCCGCCGAGGAGGCGGCGAGCGAGCGCGCCCCGACCGTCTGCACGCTTTCTCTTTCTCCCCAGGGAGAGCGCGCGGAGGACGCGCCCGGGACGCGCGGCTGCAGCGGGAGGCCCGGGCCGAGCGGTAAGTGGGTCTGGGTAGGGAGTGCTGACAGTCCACGGCCCTGGCCCTGGCCGGGGGCTCGGGTCTGGTGACCCGCGGCAGGACACCCGGAGGCCCCTGAAAGTTTGATTTCCGATTTGGTGGCGTGCTTGGGAACAGTCCTGGCGGGCGCGAGTCTGGGCTCCGGCGCGCGCACGCTCGCACCTCGGGATCCAGATCTGCTGGTCTAGGCGGAGGGTGGCCGCGCGTCTGGGAGCCCCGCGTGTACCCCGGGTGGCCGCGCTCCCGGTGCTGCTCGGGTCGGCAGGAGCGACCCTTCCCCATCCGCCGCCTGGGTGAGCGATTTACAGGTGTGCTGGAGGGAGCAGGCCGAGTGGGCTGATGGTGGAGAAGGGACTGGTTCAGCTCCCGGCCCTAGGTTGTTAATTTCTTTCTTGGAGGGGGGTGTCTTCGAGACTGGAATCCGAGGATGCTCCAAACTTGCATTCCTTGGAGGAAGTAAACCGCGAGAGGGCTGGAGAGGCGAGAGGGTGGTGCTGCATAAAGAACTTTTCCTCCTTTTGCCCTGTTTCCAACTTCTCTCCTGACCTTAAAGGCAATGTGCCAGGTTCGTAAATCGCTCCACGGCTTTTCTAGGTGGGCAAGTAATCGCGTATGGCAGGTTGAAATTTCATCGGGTTCATGGTTTCTAAAAAGAGGCACGGGAAATCTCTGGCTTTCAGGGGAAGGTGTTCACAGGATTGTTGGCATTTTTGAAGGGGAAGCTTTTGGGGACGGATGGCCCCTAAGACTGCCTTGCACTTCATAGATTTTATTTTTCATGAAGGGTAGTTGAGAGGTAGCATTCACTGAAATTCATACTACATGCTACACGATTACATTTCTAGACTGGAGCCAGTGATGCGATGCAAATTTAAGAGGGAGGTGTCGACTTTCATCAGGTTCCAGGTCTATCTGGATGAACTGGGGCTGGCGTTTCCTCTATAAAGCGAGCCTTTCATGTTGAAACTCTGACTCAAGAGTCTTAAAGCCATTGTTTTTATACTGGTACTCTGTGGGAGTTAAGTATCAACTTTCTCTTGTTTTCTCAAATACAGTATCTTCTGAGGCAGATTCTCTGGCTGAATCTTTTGGACAACTACCGCGTTAGGTCCCAACGGATTGCTTCTGCAGCTTAGTTTAGGAGCAGTCATTTCTGTGTCTTATTTAACGACTTTTCCATATCCATTTTTCGTTTTCTGAGAGCTGCAATTAAGCTGCCTTTACCAGGGTTATACAGAGCAGTTAAAGGTTTAATATGGTCACTGATGTGCCCAACTATGAGGTGACATCCCAGTTATTAAGTAGAATATTATTATTGGAGCCCATGAAATAAATGATTTATACTAAGGCATTAACAGTGAAAAGTGCTTTAAAATGACTTGGGTGATGGTTTGATGGTTGGGGTAAAATAAGACACTTGGAGGACTGAATGCTTTTGGTGTCACTGTGGACTTATTTTCTTACCTCATTAAAAGACTCTTGAAATGGACTATCATTAGATTTCTCCAGTTGCTGTGAGATGTTGAACAAGTTTAGCAAGTGGCCCAGCAAGCAGTCAGTAGGTGTAGCTGTTAGCCTCTGCATTTTCTGGTCCTGTTCTTTGAGTTTGAAACCACCATTCCACGGCAGTGAACTTTAAGATTTGATGTGTCTGACAGTGATAGTTGTGACTTGATGACAAGATTCTGTGGAAAGTTTGACTTGAATTCATGGTAATAATGATTCCTAAGCACAGATTCCAAGCAGTTCACAGACATGACATACTGAGATATAACTCCTCCTTTGACTCTACCCTTTCACTGCATTTTCTTGATTTTATTATCTATTTCATGTTTGCTTTGATTTATGTATGTGATATTGGTGGAGTCGCCTCAATTTTTTTTTTAAAGCAACTTAAAAAAGCCTTTTTAGGGGGCTGGAGAGATGGCACTGGCTGCTCTTGGCAGAGGACCTGGGTTCGATTTCCCAACACCCACATGGCAGCTAACAACCATTCATAACCCAAGTTCCAGGGGATCTGATACCCTCTTCTGACCTGCGCAGGCATTGCACGACACAGATGTAGTTACATAAATGCAGGCAGTGCACTCATACACATAAAATTGAAAAAAAAAAAAAACTTTCTAGAAACTTTATTAACGTGTCATAGATTGAGCATTACTTGAGATTAGCAGTTATATAGACTTTGGGGATCTTGGTTGACAGAGTTAAGATGTGTATATATTGTATACTTTGAACCATTTAATAAATGACTTTTAAAGAGGTATCTTAGAACTGTGAGGCAGGAACATGCCTATCTGTATGTTTATTGGCCCAATCCACGTACAATCCATGCACAAATGGTATGTATATCCTGAAGGTTTTCAAGTGACAGCTTAGATTTGAGCCTTTTGGTTCACTAACCTAATTGGATTTGTTGCCAAAGAAAACAAATAGAAATAGGATCCCCTCCCCCTAATAAAGAGCGAGAGCTCTGCTGGAGTATGCTGCTTTGTTTTGGCTCACAGCATAGAACTGAATCTCAAAATCTGCCCTTCCAATATCCCTGTGTTCCTAACCTTTTTAGACTTGTGAGTTCAGTATTTACTGAGTGCCACATCTAGATGTTCTCTGGGTTTGTATGATTCTAGTGGTGTGCATGATTGTGCTTGGCTTTGTGGAACTGTTGGTCCAGGGCATCATGTATACTCAGGTACGCATCTCGGTATGACAGTACTCTGATGATCAAGGTTTTTTTGCATATGAGAAAATTAGTTTTAAAACAAAAGTTCCAAATATTTATCTTCAGAAGGCCTGGACTTCAAGTACCTGCTCTGCTACTTTCTGACTGTGGTGATCTTTAAAAGAAACAATTGAGGGCCTGGGCTGCGAAGTTAAGAGTACTGGCTGCTCTTGCAAAGGACTTGGGTTTGGGTCCCAGCACCCACATGACAGTAACAACCACCTGTAACTCCAGTTCTAGGGGATTCAGCGCCCTCTTCTGTCCTCCATAGGCATTGTATGGCATGGGTGCACTTATATACAATACACTCATCATACACATAAAATAAGTAAAAAAAAAATTGAGCCTGTTTCTGAACTTCCCTGTCTAGTTCTGCAATGATGTGTACACAGTTTCACAGTTTGCTATGGAACTCAGCCGGAATATATGTATGAAAATACTTAGCAAACCTTTATAAAGCTTTCTTTGCAGTTGTATTTTCTTTCTTTTGATGGGCAGATTCATGAGTTGTTGAGACTAGAAGGGATTCTGAGCATAGTTCATTTGGCCCAGCTTTCCAGGTGTACACCCGAGGACACTGAAGGCCAGAGCGTTGACATGATTTGCTGAAGATTATAGAACTTTTTAGCAGTGGATATCTCTGAGCCATCACTAGACCATTTTCCTTCCTGATTGAAATGTGTTTCTTTGTTTCTATTTTTTTTTCTACTGTAAAATTGATTGTAGTTGAAGTTTATTTTCTACTTTCTCTACCTACTTAAGTATTCAGTATTTTGAAAATTATTAAAATAGGGCTGGAGCGATAGCTCAGTGACTGGCTGCTCTTCCAAAGGACCTGGGTTTGAGTCCCAGCATGGTAGCTAACAACCATCTGTAACTCCTGTTCCAGTGGCTCCAACCACCTCTTCTGGCCTCTTCAGGCTTTGCACAACATGGATACACTTATATACATGCAGGCAAAACACCCATACACATAAAATAAAAATAAATAAAAAATTAAAATGAGAAACAAAACTGAGGAAATAAAAACAGCATCAGTGTAGTGGTTGGTACCTAAGCTTTGGAGTTTAACTTAGATTGCTAAGTTACGGAAAAAGAAATCCTAAATTAAAGTTTCTGCACGGCAGAGCCCATGAGCTTACTTTTTTTTTGGAAGGATAGCTTTATTACCTCAATGTCCAATATACTTATATGCTCTTTAGAAAAGTCAAACTTAATTTCTTCTAGTTCACCTTTTTCCTCCCTTCTTAAATTTACTTGCAAAAGGAAATAGTTGTATTCTTCATGTTTCTGGATCAGTGGCAACTGAATTGTTTGTCTCTTGGCTGCCTGGAGGAATTGCAGAGGGTGTTTGAGGGGTAAGAAGCAGTCAGGTGGAGGAACCTTTTATACATACAGCCAGAGTGGAGCCTGCTGTGAGAGCTGCCTCAGGAGCTGGTTGATGGAGCGCTGCCCTACTTCCCTGGTGTGAGCCTGGAGTGGAGACTGCCTTTTAGGAGAGGGCCTGTCCCTGTTCTGGGAGGGGCAAGCATTACTTTATTGCAGGGTTCACAGAGAGGTCTGTGCTGTGTGCTATGTCATCACTTGAGACTTGACAATCCTTGAGACTTGACAATCTGTGCTTGCGGCTCAAAGTCCAGTAGCCACCTTGCCACTACTTTTTTCATGTGGGAAATAAATTGGCCTCATTGCATTTTTGCTTTTAGTTGTTTTCAGTGCCTTGCTAATTAAAAACAAAAAACAAAAGATACTTGTATGGCACTTTGTGTTTTAAAGGTATATATGTTGATTACTCTTAAATGATAGCTCATTTCTTCTCTCACTGAGATTTTGATGAGCTCTGGCGAACCATAGGAGGCTGGGAATGAGCGCATGGTGCTTGACCTCTTAAACACAGGTGATTTGAGTGTGGAACAGAAAGACACAGTGTGGCTTGATTGGCAACCAAGAGGGTAGGGAAACACATCCAAGCATCCTAATGCTTCTTTTGAAGGAAGGGAAACTACCTTCTTGTCTCCATTCATATTCTTCGTTTATTCTGCCTGGATGGAATAAGATGCAAAGAGTGTTTTCGTAAAGCTTTTGATGGAAGATTCCCAAATGGTGTGGAGGGACAGGCGTGCATTGGAGGCCTGTTGTAAAGTAGGGTAAGCTATTTGTTGGCCTCTAGAGGTCTGAGATGAGAATTTCCAGCCTGTAGACTCCTAATTTGTTACTTGACATGTTGCACTAAGTTCTCTCTCTAATTAGAGTTGTA